TTGTGAGTGCAGAAAAGCTCATGCAGAGCTAGATGATTGTCCGTGTATTTTAACATTTCAGTTTCCAGCTCTCCCCAACAGTTCTGGGCTACTGGAGGAAAGGCACATTTTGCCAGGTAGCCTCTCCACAGTGCTCATCCGTAGCGTTTCTCAAGTTCTTCATCAAGCTGCCAGTAATGTACTAGTCAGAAGGAATTATGATCACAAAACATGTAATATGATATTACCAGCCAGATAGATTAAAAGAATTAACAGTATGTCCTTTCTTATGATACTGGAGCCAGAGGTCTAAGACCAGGTTTGCTCCCATTTAACTTTCAATCTTCTGTTAGCCTACAGGTGGTTGGTTCAGTGCTTGCTTTTACTTTATTTTCACAACAGCTGCAGTTCAAAATATTATTTTAATGCAGGTTTATACAAGGGGGTGTCAAGGCCCTGAGAAGACACACCTGAAGAGTATGGGCTTCTCAAAAAAATATTCTCAAGGAGTAAGACATACCCCATTCAAGACCCTTGCTGTGCTTTTGTTCATGGTTTTGGCCCCTGAACATGGAGTCTGAAGGACAATCTGTTTTCAACAGAGAAGTTACTTAGATCACAGCCAGGGTTCCTTCTGCCCAGCCATCCATGGTGCCCCCTTGGGTGTATGTTGAAGTCTTTTTGAGATTCATACATAACTTCTACCACCACCACCACCCCCAATGTGGTTGATAGTCCATTGCTTTATTCTGAGCTGGCTGGTGAGTGTCCTCTAATTTTGTTTCAGAGCATCTGATCAGACCTTGCATCTCTTTGGTAATATTTGTCTTTTTTCTCTCTCTCTCTTCCATTCTTTTAATAATAACTCTGCAGTTCAACCCTGTATGAACTCTGTTCATAAGGAAAGAGAAGAGACATTTGTTCTCTCCAGCACAATGTGGTGTGGTTGTTGGAGAAATAAATCCTTCAGCTTGTGCCCCAGCCCACCAGCGAAGCACAGGGTGACATGACCTTAACTACACGGACGGTAGTGAGTGGCATTGGTTCAGCCAGACAACCTGGGTGTCTATGCGTGCTGATCACTCAGTGTCTAGGCCTCCTCGTTCCATAAACATGCAGAATAAACCCAAAGCACAGTGGGAGGAACCAACTCCAGACAGACCCAAATGTTGCTTTTATCACATGTCTTGTCTTTTTTTGTTTTTGTTTTTGCTTTTTGTTTTGTTTTGTTTTGAGACAGGGTTTCTCTGTATAGCCCTGGCTGTCCTGGAACTCACCCTGTAGACCAGGCTGGCCTTGAACTCAGAAATCCTCCTGCCTCTGCCTCCCAAGTGCTGGGACTAAAGGGGTGCGCCACCACTGCCCGGCGTGTCTTGTCTTACCAATGAGAAAAGTACCTAATAAAGGGGAGAAGAATGGTTGTGTGGGTGATGAATTCTTCAACATGAATTACTTGATTATTATTACTTGATTATTACTTGATTTCTCCAATAATGTGACTTTCCATTTATTTCTCCCAAACAGAATTTAGCTAATAACAATACAAATAGACAGATTAAATTTTTAGCTGCAAATGGATTATAATAATTTAGAATGAGCCAGGCAGTGGTGGCGCACACCTTTAGTCCCAGCACTTGGGAGGCAGAGGCAGGCAGATTTCTGAGTTCGAGGCCAGCCTGGTCTACAGAGTGAGTTCCAGGACAGCCTGGGCTATACAGAGAAACCCTGTTTCGAAAAACAAACAAAAGAAAAATTTAGAATGAACAACATTGAAGACCAACCTTTATTTTTTTTAAATCAGACCTACTCCACATGAGGTTATATATATGGAATTAAAGTGTCAAGGAAGTAAAACTAGGATTTGAAGACAACAGGTATTTAAAGCACTCCAAACATCCCACAAAATATTTCATTGAGTACAAAGGACTATAGGCCCATATATTATTATGTACAACAGTTAAATGAGTATTTTATATTTACAGATATCTAGTTTTATACAAGGTTCTTAAGTCAGATGTACTTCAATTTTCAGGTTAAAAATCTTGGACTTTATTAGTTTATAAGAAGCAGAATTTGAATTTTTATACTAGACATAGCCTCAACTCATAGCAACTACAGTTGCTGTTCATATTTTCTATTCTTTGACTTCCTGTTGAATGTGAGGTATCCTGAGCAACATACAGTTTAAAAACTTGTTAGTTGTGGTCAGGGCTCAGTTCTTAAGGATTGTCTGAAACAACAGGGATGAGTTAGTGGCTAACAGACTTTGTTACCTTTCTTCAAGACAAAGGGAAGTATGGAAGTTGGAGGGCACGGATATTATACTGACTTAGCTTTAGGCTTGATTAGCTGTCTTTGAGAAAATGCATAGGAGTAAATGGTAAGCTTCTCCTCTAAATGATGCCAGATATACCACATCCAAGCATGACAGAAGGGAGACCATGGGAAGAGATGCCTGAACAGCACAGGTACATCCAGAATGTGAGAGCCTCAAGGCAAGAAGACAGACTGGAAATTTATAAGAATGAGAAAACTCAGGAGTTCAGAGGACACAGGGTCATAGGGGCTGGACAGTCCCAGGGATTGAAGTATGGATAGGCAGGTTGGGAAAAGCAGCATTGGGAGAACTTGTAAATGAGTGACCCGTGGTTTGTGACATTGAAGAAGGACACTGTGCCCTCCTCACAGTCAAGGAAAACCCCAACCCGATGGAGAGGGGTGGCCACAAAGGGGTTCAGAACTGTAGGGTCACAGTTGGAAGAATTCTCAAAGATACTATACCTTGATCCATCCTGCAACCCTATAACCCAGTAGCCATTCTGAGGTTTATATCTGTGGTAATCATTTGACTGGGTTTTGCATCGTCTAACATCAAACTTTAAAGTACGTTTTCTAGTGTAAACTCCCAGGGTCCAGGCATTCTTTTTAGACACATCCACTTCCCAGTAATGTTTTCCTGAGGAGAAACATTTGGAGCCCAAGATCCCATTAT